CCTGGCCCTGTGCTGAGCACTTTGCAGGACTTACCATCACCCCCATGGCCACCCTGTAAGGAGACACCTTTATGCCCATTATTTTAATGAGGAACTGAAGCACAGAGTGATTAAGTAACTTGTCCAAGGTCACACAACCAGTGAGTGGTGGAGCCAGAATCTGAATCTACATGTGACACCACATGTGAACTCGGACTACGTTGGAAAGGAGTGAACCCTCAATTTGAATCTGGAGACCCTGTGAGCCTAGTACAGCGCTGGCACTTACTAGGCTCCCCCAACATGCCTGGATCTCCTCCTTTCTCTCCAAGGCTGCTAGAAGGCCATAGGCCCTGTGAGCTGGATTGAAGGCAAGGAGCTGGCAGGGATGACATTGTGACTGGGACACACAGTCTGCAGGCCCTGCTCTGCCCTCAGTTACAAGCTCTTTGACCACAGGCGACTCTCCTCTGCACCCTTTCAGGCCTCAGTTTCCCTTTTTGTAAAATGGGGTTACAATTCTGCAGTTGATGATTTTGGTGTCTTCAGCCCTTCTCTGATTTCAGCTGCAACTGGACCCCAGCTGACAGGGCCCTGCCTCCAGCACACCCCTTTTTTTCTACTCTCTACTTCAGGAACTTCTCCAAGCTTCCTCAGAGTTTCAGAGAGTTTATGTCCCCTGGGGACCCTCAGCCAATGGAGAACAGGGGCTTCAGAGGCACAGCTCTGGGAGGCATTCCTCACACTTGACAAGGTCTTGTTGGAATCTTCAGAAGCAACAGCCTCAATAACGCAACCACCTGCAAGCGTTTCCTCCTTTCCTCCCGCTCTCCCTGCTCCCTCACTCCTGCTTTAGCGACTACCTTCCACATAAATTGCCTGCACCCAAACCCTTGTCTCAGTCTCTGCTCTCAAGGGAACCCAAGACAACTGCTGCCCTGACTATGCAGTGAAATCACAGATGATAAACAACGTGGAGAGATGCTGTAAATGCTGCTTTTGATGGAGCTCTATGCTGATGGGAGTACCTGGTGAATCCTGTGGTTTACCTTGGCTGCTGGCCTGGAGAATTTTCCCTCATCCACTCAGCAGCAAAACTCCTCAGCACTCACTGATTCATTTTTTCAGTGTTTCCCAAAATTTTAACGCTGGCTTTAAATATTCTGACCACAAGAGCCTCACTCAGAATTTCCCATTTAGCTGGTCCTTGGATCAGGTCACATGTCCACCAAGGGCAGCTCCTCCAGGATGCAGTGCTTTGCATTGTGGGAGGGGAGAGAAGGCAGTTGCCTAACCAAGCAAAACCATGGCTGTGGTTCTCTGGGCTGTGCACCGGCACCCCTGACCACTCCAGGGCCCGTGTTCAGGCTGCATACTTCAGCTCCAAGGCACTGTGAGGCCGGGCCCTTTGCCTGCTTCCCTGTCTCCATTCCTGCAACTCATCCACACAAACTGTGGGCCCCTGGAGGTAGGCAGATGGTGAGCATTAACACAAACCCCACATTTCCAGAGGAGGAAATCGTAGTGCTCTCATGTGACCTAGTTGACTTCTTTCCCTAACACTGCCAATGAGAAGCCATGCAAACATTTGCCTTCCACTCAGCCGAGAGTGAAGCTCCTTCTATACCAGGGGTTTTTGAACTGAGTTCCTGTGGGTACCAATGTTATACAGGGGTGCTCAGGGACCCCATGGGCATGGGGAGTGGATAGGATGACAGGGTGAGAGAGAGAGAAAAAGATGTGACTGGTGAAAATTTAAGCATGAAAACAAGTCTGGAAGCCATTGTCTTGAACCATGCACAGAGCCCTGGATGTGAGAACAGTTGGTCAACTCCCTCCTGGGACTGTGCTGGGTCAAGTCTCCCTTGTATCTCACCTGCATGGGCCTAATCCCAGGAATGCGGTCCTTGGCATCCTCAGGGATATGGGCTGTCTTCAGGTGTAGATCCCCGGACAGCATCTATAGGTCAGCCCCCAGCATCTCAGCCAGGGCCCCTTCTGCGGTTACCCTCGAATAGTGGCTCTGCAGATGGCTCAGTTTGACAGCCATCTTGGCCCCCAGCTCAGGGGAGGCATAGTTATCAGTGACCAGCTTCCTGGTTGTCTGCAGCACAGTGGGCACCTTGGCATGTAAGGCCACTATTGCCTGAGCTGTGGAGAGGGCCTCTGTCATGGACACAGTGATGTTGGGCTCCACTCCCATTAGGTCCCAGGGCTCACCTGTGCTGGCACTCAGGGCCATCTGTGTGGGCATGGAGGCATATAAGGGGCTGCTGCCCACCTGGTGGATACCTACAGAGAGTGCCCCTCCATCCGTGGGCTCTCCGATAACTGTGGCCTGCTGTAGGTCCTGCATGGTGTGAGCAAAAGCCTCAGCCGCCGACCTGCTAGTAAGGCTCATCAAGATGTAGAGGTCCTTGTCGGGGCCATAGTGCTGTCCAGTCACCTGGGGCAGGGTCCACACCTCTGTGACCCTTGAGGTGATCCTGTCAAAGACAGAATAGAGGTGATGGCGGGGCTCCGCATCAAAAAGTAGGAGCAGAGCAGGGGCATAGCCGTGGAGTAGCTGCCAGTATTGTAGCGCAGGTCAACCACCAGCCCCGCTGTGTCCACCAGCCCCTGCCACACCAGCTGTACCAGCTGTGGCCAAATGGCCATCACCTTCTCCAGCTCGGCCATGGTGTCGGAACGCAAGTAGCCCAGCCGGCGGGGGAGCACCTCTGTCTTGAAAAGGGCATCGATGAGGTAGGAGAGCTCCTCTGGGGAGAACACATCAGGGGAGTGGTGGAGGCACCTCCTCTGTGGTCAGCTTGCCGGGGCTGTGGAATACCAGCAGACCATGGTCCCCAGACATCTCCTGTAGGTCAGCGGTGAGCTGGGAGGCCAGGGAGTCCAGGTCCACGGCTGTGCGGTAGGCCCCCTGGGCCAGCTTGGTTCGAAGCGGGTCTGCTGTCTTCCCAACAACCTCTGGCCATGCATAGTGGGCTTCCAGCAGGCGCCCTGTGCTTTTGACCAAGGCTCCCAAGCTGCGGTGGAACTCTAGCACTTCCTGGGCTCTGTCCAAAGCCTCCTCCGCCGCCAGCACGACCCCCAGCCAGCACTCCCCATGGTTGTTGATGAAGGTGAGCACCGGCGCGGTGAGTGCCAGGCTGCCTTCTGGCGTCTCCAGCAGGGGCATGGTGTGGGTGTGTACCAGGCAGCCCGCCATGATCTCACCCAGTGTGGCCAAGCCCAGTGACTGCATGAGGAAGGCCAGCTCTTCAGCGGCGGTGGCTGTGCGGTGGCTAGGGAGCAGGTACACCCTGTTGGGAGCCGTACTGCCAGCCAGGTAGCTCTGTGCTGCTGAAGTGCTCCTGCGTCATAGGTGGTAAAGAGAAGCACAGGGCTGACATCTGGGCCCAGGAAGTAGGACAGCAGCAGGGGAACTGCGGAGGGCGGCCCCCCAGAATTCTGGAGCAGGTCCATTATGAGGTGCTCCATGTCCTGCAGGGGCTCTCACACCTAGTGTGAGAGGTATCGGCCCAGCACCCCCAGCACCAAGGCGTCGGCAAACCTGTCAAAACGCAGGTAGCCCACACTGCCCGGCAGCACTGACACCTGGAACACGGAGTCCACCAGGGCCTGCCGCGCTACCTCATCCTCCGGCACTTCTGGGGCTGACTCTGGGGAGTCATTGGCTCCAGTATCATTGGCCTAGAAGAGGTTTCTTTGGGCCTGATGGCCCGCACCATGAGCCTAGGGTCCTCAGATACAGCTTGGAGACCGGCGTTGAGCTTAGTGACCAGATCTTCTTCAGAGACCACGGCAGTAAAGTCCATGCTGGCCAGGTGGTGCAGCAGGGCACGAATACGGTCCACCAGGGTGTAGGAGTCCTGCAGGGCCTCTTGAAGGTGCCGTAGGACTCCCGGCAGTGCCCTGCGCAGCGTGAGAATGGCCAGGGCTTTCTCTAGGGCCTGCTCTGCAAGTGTCCCCACACAGGGCAGCACTCCACTGCCCTCCCACATCTGGCTGTCCCCACCCAGGGGCTCCAGGGACCTGGACACAGGCATGGTGAGGAAGAAGTGAGGCTGGCCTATCCTCAGCTTCTCCAGGTCCAGGGCGCCCCCTACAGTCTGCTCGCACACCACAATGGCCCTGCACATCTGTTTGAGGATGTAAGCGATGTCCTCGGCCACTCTGTGACTGCTGGTGAGGACCACCACATCCTTGTCAGCACTGTATCTTTCTCCCAGGACCTGAGGCAGGGTCCAGATCTCAGTGGTCGTATTTGAGGGGGGAGGGTCATAGATGGTGTCTACATGCAGGACCGTGTTTCCTGGGTTCAGCTAGGAGATCCCATAGGGGATGCCGGAAACGTGGCCTCCAGTGCAATGCCGGAGGTCCAGCACCAAGGCGGAGGTGCCCATGAGCTTCCTCCAGATATTGGCCACCAGGAAGTCCTCCAGCTTGCTCACCATCTCCTGGCTTGGGATGTTGTCCACCCGCAGGTAGCCCACGTTGCCCTCCAGAACATCATGGCGGGTGATCTTCTGCAGCTGGGTCAGCAGTTCATCTTGTGTGAGGTTGGTGAATGCTGGGGTTGCTGGGGAGCCATGAGGGTACGGGGCTCCTATGAGAAGGCCAGGAGAGGGTCTTTCAATGAGCTCTGCACTCCCGCTGTCAGGACATGGGCCAGGGACTGAGGGTCTGAGATGCCTAGGATCTCGCGGCTCTTGATGGCCTGCTCGATGGTTTCTTGCATCCCCATCAAGTTCACCGGGAAGCAGCAGTTATCCAGGAGGACCTTGGCCATGTCCAGCACCAGGCTCAGCTGGAAGAGGTGTGTGGGGCCAGCCAGGCCACAGAGCAGCATGGAGAAGAGCAGGGTCCATTCTCTCATCATGGGGCTACAGACGGAGGGCTGGCTCCTGCACAAAAGCTCGCTTGACAGTGTGCAAGGCCACAGCACTGCCCTGTGTGTCTGCCTTTCTTCCTTGTCCTTCTCAGCTGGCAGATGGAAGGTCTGGGGCTAAATGTGGGAGTTGGGTTGAGGCTTCCACATCCAGTAATCCTTTAATCCTGTCTAATTCATGTGTATCAGCCTTGGGGACTGTGCAGAAAGGGCCAAGGTGGTTTGACCCAGAAGGTATATTAAATATCTTGCTATGTCACCCCTGGGCATAGTAATTTGAAAAACTCCCATATAGTTTTGAATTCCTGCTGCATGCAGGCACTGTACTTCATGCTTTACAAGCTGACAGGCATCCTTGCAAAGTGGAGTTATTAACCTGCCAGTAAATAGCATTTACCCACTACACTGAGTGATCCATGCCTCTGGAATTAGGTAGAACTCATTGGAAGCATGGCTCTGCAACTCTGCTCTGTGGCCTTCAGGAAGTGTCTCACTGTGCAATTAAGTGAGAAAATACGTGTAAAGCACGTCACAGTGGTAATCAAGAAGGGAACACTCAATTACTGATAAGTTCTCCCTGTTAGATATTATCTGTTTTATAGCCGAAGAATCAGTTTATTAGGTGCGGGGATGTGGGAATGGAGAGAAAAAGCCTGTGGGTTCACCAGCTCAGACAGTGTGGAGGTTGAGTCTAAGGCCCCTATCAGATTCAGGGCTTGAAGTTTATGTCCTGCTAATGACTCCAGGGAACCAGAGGGGTCTCCTGACAGCTTTCAAACTATAGGAATGACATATCTGGACCTCAGTGTGGGGTTTGGGGAGCGAGGAGGGGACCTGCCTCCCAGACATCATGGAACCAGTGATTCCAGGCCAGATGAAGTTAGCTTTGAGATCTAAGGGCTGTCCATTCAAAGAATACTGGTTGAGGGTTTGGGCCACTGCCCACTGCCTGCAGGGAGAACTGAATAGTAGGTCTTGGGTCTCGTGGTCCCAGGCCCCAGACGTATTCAGATCACTCCCCTCACTTGAACAGAGCACATGAGCCAGTTCCAGGTGAACCAACTGCTGGACTCTCAGGTTCCCAGTTCCTGCTTTTTCACATGGAAGCGATGTGGGTCCTGCCAATAACCTAGAGTTCCTGCTTTTTGTCTGCATCCCTCCAGGGGTGGGCATTTCCCTCACTTAACAGATGAGACAACTATGGCTCAGAGACAATTATGGCTCAAAGCATGGTCGCACAGCCAGGGGAGAGTGCTGAGAGGGGGCCTGGCTCTACTCTCACTTCATCCTGTTATCTCCAGCACACACTTCTTGGGCTGTGTGGACAACAGGTAGGCACACATGTATGCCTCAGCAGGCAGCCAGAGGAGGTGGCCTTGGGGACAGGGGGGCTTTCTCAGCACACTTGAGAGCCACAGTCTGCTCTCTGGAAATCATTATCTGAGGATGTTTACCAAGTGGTTTATGAAGGCCAAAGAGGTCACTTAGCTAACAGAAACATATTTTTAGCTCATTAGGATTTGTTTAATGCCCAGTGACATATGGTCACATCACTCCACTGTTTGCAGCCAATGAACTGAGTCTGATTTATTATAATAATAGGGCCCCCTTAGTCCCTGCTGGGAAGCCTGGGCTTTCTGCTATGCTTCCACGTGGGAAATCACAGCTCTGAGCATGCGTCCCAGTCCTCTGAGGAATAAGTCTCTCCCTCTCTCTCTCTCTCTCTTTAAAGATTTTTATTGGGGAATTGGGGGAAGGGGAACAGACAAGTTGCTGTCGTTTTGTTCTTCAGTCTAGTTGTGGAGAACGTTGTTTCACTGGCCCAAGTTGGCACCATCATTGCACTCTTCCTGGGCGTGGCAGATCAGTCGCCGGCTTCTGGACGGCTGCTCACTGAGGCTGCTGGCCGCTCACGCTGGCTGCTGGCTACACACGGTAGCCCATGGCAACCCACTGCCACAGGGGCTGCAGCCTACGCCATCGCCGGCGACTCACGGCAGCCCAGCTCCAGGTTGAGCTGTTGTTCAGCATCTTAGCTGTGGAGGGCAGTGTCACTTGCCCTCATATGTGGGATCCGAACCGGGGCCCTCTGGTGTCCCAAGCCAGCTCTTAACTATCGCGCCACTCGGCCGGCCCTCATTGTGCTTTTAATTTGGATTTCCTTGATGAATAACGGTGTTGAGAATCTTTTTATATATTTATGGCCCATTTGTATATATTCTGTGGTAAAATGTCTGTTTAAATCTTTTGCTCATTTGTTGGGAGTGGGAGAAGAGGTTGTTTGTTATATTATTGATAAATTAAGAGTTATTTTTATATTCTGGATGAGTCTTTTGCCTGATACATATATGCATGTATCTCAATCTGTGGCTTGTCTTTTTTTTTTTTTTTTTTAGCTGAGCCATCCTGCCACCTGTTGGCAGCTCAGCGGCAGCTCATCTCGGGCGGGGCATCAAACCGCTGTTGCTCAGAGCTCAAACTCTTGAGTGAACTCTTAACCAACTGAGCCACTCGGCTGGCCCCTTGTGGCTTGTCTTTTCATGCTCTTAACAATGAATTTTGAAGGTTGAGCTTTCATTTTTAATAAATTCCAATTTATCAAATTTTCTTTTATGATTCATATTTTTGGTATTTAAATTAAAAATGATATCTAAGAAATCTTTGCCTATCTCAGAGTCACAAAGCTTGTCTTTAATGTTTTATTCTAGAACTTCTACGGTTTTAGGTTTTGCATCTATAATCCATTCGAGTTAATTTTTATGTACGGTATGAAGTAGGAGGTCAGATTTATTTTTTTCTATGTTAATATCCAGTTGATCAAGCACTAATTTTTGAAGAAGCTTCCATTGAATTGACTTGGCATTTGGTCAGAGTGTTTAACCACATATGTGTGGGTCTCTTTCTGTATTCTATTCTGTTACATTTGTCTGCTTCCCTGTCTTTTCACCAATACCACACAAGTCTTGGTTACTATAGTTTATAGTGTGTCTTGAAATCATGTAGTGTGAGACTTCCAACTTTGTTATTCTTCATCAAAATTATTTTGGCTCTATAGTTCCTTTGATTATCCATATACATTTTGATCTTTAGAATCAGACAACTGATTGGGATTGAGTTGAATCTATAGATCAGTTTGGGGGACAACCAACATCTTAACAATACCGAGTCTTCCAACTCTTAAATTAGTATATCTCTTTATTTAGGCCTTCTTTGATTTATTTTATCAGTTTTGTATGATTTCAGTCTATAGATCATGTAAATATTTTGTTATAAATACCTAAGCATTTCTTATATTTTAGGGTGCCATTTGTAAATGATAGTTTTTCTTTAAATTTTCATTTCCAGTAGTTCATTGATCTTACATTCTGCAATGAGGTTAAATTCATTTATTCATCCTAGTATGTTTTTGGAGAGTTCTTGGAATTTTCTAAAAGTGTATTCATGTTGTATTTCTCTCTTTCCCCTTCTACAGACTGCATCCTTGCTCTTGCCTTATTGTACTTGTTAGGACCTCCAGTGTCTTCATCCTGACTTTAGGGTGAAACATTCATTCTTTCATCATTAACTATGATGTTATCTGTAGATTGCTTTTTGTAAATGCTCTTTGTTCTTGTTTGGGGGATGTCATATTATGACAGAAGCAGAGATCAGAGTAAAGAAACTGTGGGCCAAGGAGTGCCAAGGACTGATGGTCATCACCAGAAGCCAGGAAAAAGCAAAGACCCAGTGTCTCAGAGGGATTCCCAGGGCCTTAATTATGCCTATGTATTGTGACGTGCACAAGGAGTGTTTACAGCATTCAAGTTTTCCAAACTTACAAGACTATAATGGAACAGGCATCTAAACAAAGGAGTTTGGATTGAGAAGAAAAAGGCAAACTACTTAAATTGTTTAAGAGGAAGGAAAAAGGAATTTAGAAGGTTATAGATGAAGAAGATATCTTGAGGATAAACTTACTTTGTCTATGAGGTGTTTTCCCAGGAAACACTTATTTAGAATGATGTGCTTAATTTAGTAAAATGGAACTTTGCTGACTTTCTGGGCTCTACAATTTATCAACTAATCTAGTGTTTTTCCAACTAGCATCCTTGTGCCATTGGGGCACAGAAATGATGATGTACTTTATTTTCTCTACTCTAATTTATGTGGTTTCTCTTTTCCCTTCTATAGAGATGGCTTTCTTAATGAAAGTACTTATATATGAGAGAAAACAAAATTGTTTAAAATAACAACCCATAAAGAATCAAAGCAATTTAAGAATTTTGAAAAATTAATGGAACAGCTTTTATGCAGTAAGGGAGACTATGTAAATTATAGCAAAACTTCTGACATTTAGAACTTTTATAAAATTATGAAACTTTATAAATTACTATCAGTCAGATTATCATATTTAAAATTAAAAGGGGATCTAGAAATTATCTCCAGTGATCATACTGACATTTTTTTCCTTAGAAGACTTTCTTGAAGTAAGAATGTTCTGGTGCAAGTTTCTTGTCTCTTGGTGTATGGTATAAACAAGTCACTACCAACTACTTTGACTAGCACTGATCTAGTCAATACCCTTTGTTTTATAAATGAGGAAATAAACTGAGATAGGTCTTAATAGCCTCCAAATAAATTTTTATTCAAGTATTCAGCACTTATGTAAAAGCTAACGAGATCATTTCATCATTATCCAAGAGTTTTTAGAGGTGGGAGTGGGGTATTATTTCCTATCTTTATTTGGAGAAAAAGAAAATTAACATGTTCATGAATAAGAAAATTTAACATTGTAAAGATATCATAATGAAATTCTATTTAAAATTCCAATATAATAATTTTGAGAATTGAACAAAGTAACACTAAAACTTTTGGAGGAGAAAATGTCAATGAATAACTAAGATAAAAGTAAAAGTAAAGAGGGGAGACTTATCTGATTAGATGATAAAATATTGTTTTACCAGACAATCAGATAGTCAGATTATGTTTGTGTGTATATATGAAAGACTGAGATAGGTATACAGGTATGTATATATACACACATACACAGCAGTGGTAGCTTCATAGCTAAGAAAAAGGATTATTTAATAAATTCTATTGGGGAATAGACTTCATCTTTGCAAC